GAAAGCATCCTCAGCTGTTTTCGGGGATATGTAATTACTTTGTCTTTTGAGACCCTGTAGATCCAATTGATCAGAAATAGTGCAATAGCTTTGATGTATAGGAGAACAATCTGGAGAGGATGCCCTTCATTATTTGGAAAAGGGTAATTTCTTGAAACCAAAGGTCATCTTTTTGGTTCCTCAGGCAGAAACCTTGCTTTCAGATATGATCCTGATAACTTTGTCTGCCATCTAGTTCTGAAGACTACAGTTAAGACCCAGCAAGGTCTTTTCAAAGTCTCTTCATACAAATCCTGTAAGGTATTATGCACCAAACCCCAAAATATAAGCCTCCAAATTACACTGAACTACTTAGCAGCCCAAATGGCCTCTTATCTTCTATCTCCTTGCCTCTTGGGTAAGTTCAAAGCTCAGCTACACCTCCAAAGGTGAGATATTGTTGCAGGGAAAAATTGAAAAGTACACATTGTTTAACCAAAACCAGTGGCTATCTGATGATATCTAATTAACTGGAAACCAGTAATAATAATACACTTGCTATCAATTTCAGTAACAGAACAGGTAAACCATGATACTGGATGCTTCAAGAATGTTAATAAACATTGCACATTTCTAAACATCCTTCTATAAATACCATCTGGAGCTGTAGTCAAATCCACTCACTGACCCACATTTACCCAGACCCTCTGTCATAGGAAGCATGGGTTACAAACACAGCCCCCCTCACCTGGGGTGCAGCTTCCCCTCTTGCTTGCAGAACTGGGGGCTTCAGCTCTGCGTGCGCTCATTTCATGTGTACCCATGTAGGGCCCATGCCCTCATGTACCCTCATATTCTGCTGACCAGGTTTTGACTTCTGCAGTTTCTACCCCAGAGTTTCTCCCCCTGCTGCAAATTTTCATGCTGCTTTTATATTATTTCCCAAGCTGACTCCTTCTGTGTTTTAAAAGTCACTTTATAATTTCCTGGTTGCCGTTTAACTTCACTGATGGTCATCTTCCTCTTTATCGTGATGCTTGGGACAAATATCTTTCCAAACAGTTCTGCATATTCCAGACACGTAGGTTTTGATGTCTGTGAGTGGGCTCTGCGAGCACTGCCATGGCATATCTCCTGCTTGTCTTTGGTATGTCATATAGATTCCCTGGACAGTCGCTGGAGGAAAAGAGCAATTAACGTCTTCATTTTGAGATGTCTACCTTAGGATGTCGCAAGCCATGCTCTTCAAGCATCTGTGTTGTTCAGTGAGGTATAGAAGGAGCCTGTACATAGGCATAAGCCATATAGTCTTGTAGGGCAGAAAACCTCTGCAGAATTTGACATCTGAGTGAATTGTCTTCCTGTAAGCTGTGCCTCTAAATGCCTGTTGGAATCGACAGAAAACTAATGAATGCAGTCAGTGAAGGCAAGTGTTTTAAGTTTGCATTTATTGCCATTAAGGAAAATCTTACTTGCTCGTCACATCAGGAGGTTGTGCTAGGGCTGAGCTAGAAGGTGATCTCAAGATCGCTACAATTTGTTTCTATACTCCTTCTGAGGGCAATCCTCTTCTGACCATTCAGCTAGCTGCCCCAGGCTGCCCCAGCATCTCTCCTAAGAAATCCATTTGCAAAAGAAGCGCCAGACGAAAATCCTCTCTAGGGAATTGCTACAGTAACTATAACATCCAGCCCTGTGGGTGCCATCCTCTTCCACTCTCCTTGAGTCCCCATGACTCTGTGAATGAAGCTTGCAAATTGGAATTTCTTTGTCAATTAAATTGCATTTTTCAGTATGTCAGGCCTTTAGCTGATGGCTCAGTATATTTTTGAAAAGCCAAAGGCATCCACGTCACTGCAATTATAAGCCTTATTTTAATGACTGCAGATTTTAAAAAGTAGATGTCAAAATGAGTAGGGAAAAGGCACTGTAAAATTAATACTGAATTAGCCAAATCTTTTTTTAGCCAAATCTTTTTTTGCCCAGTGAGTTATCCTAAAGCAAGAGTACCAATCAATGCATCAAAGGTCAATGAGTTAAAATTAATCTTAAGAATGTTTCTAGTTCATTCTGCCTTTACAAAAAATATGTGCTTGATCCATCTAATTTGACTGAATTTGCACATTTCTGTAAGGCATTGCATAAATATGTGGAACAGACCTCCAACTATATTATTCAGCATGTGGATGAACATCTTCAAGCTCCCAAGAAGTCTTGTGATTCTGTCTGCAATGGTGTCATTGCACAAAATGCATGTACATGTCTGCGTTAGATTTTACAGTCTATTAAAATTTAAACTCTATTTCTCTGTTACAAATTAGCCAGTCAGAGGTCAGCTTTCTCCCAGACTAAATTACTGTGACTGACAGCAGGAAATCTGTCCCATTCCATTCACCTTTTACGATTCAGTGCTGCTTTAATCATGCTCAATCAATAATGTGATTGAATTTTGTTGGGCAGGTAGTCCATTTCCTCTAAAGGTGAGAGAACCAGCATCATTGATGATCGTCTGAAGAAACCTTCAACTCAATGACTTTAATATTTTGCAGTTGAACACATATATTAATATACCTTTGTTGAGAACTCTCGGAAGAACCCGAAGTTGCTGCAGATTTTCACACTTTACCACTCCTAATCCATGTAGTTTATATTCTATCAGCTGCTGAGAAGTCTGTAGAATCTGTAAGAGTCAAGCCTAATCTGATTTCTTTTAATAAGATTTTTTTCATTAATTGGAATTTAACCAATTTTTCTCTTGTCTCTATTGGTCCTGAAAAAGCCTGACTAAACATTTATGTTCAGTCATTGGCTTAGAATAAACATTGTCGAAAACTCAATGTTCCCTAATACGAACCTATTGAGCAATGTTTCTTTTCTAGTCTGGCTAAGGAGGGCTGTAACTAAAATGCTGTTCTTCAGAGAAGCCAGTTTTATTTTAATGCCTGTTGTGCTGGAAACAGTTGGCTATTATAGCCAACAACATGCTTCGAGTGCAAATAGGGCAAATCAGCCTGGTTTTCATCAATTCTTACTAGAAATGTATGCATTGTGTGTCCTTTGTGTTGAGGTGCTTGGGAACTGATTTATGGTGTGGAGCAAATAAGCTAATGGGTCTTTTTTTCTGTCCCTCTTGCCCTTCCTTCCAATAATGCCCATCTCTCATAAAATTCTGCAACTCCTTATCTTCTCTGTGCAGTAAAATAACACAGCTTCTCACTTAACCCCTCAATACCCTCTGCAGATCTAGGAAATTATGAAAAACTAGAAGCCAGGGCAGCAGGA